GGGGCAGGTCACAGTTCTCCATCCCTGTACTCAGACACCATGCTTGTAAGTTTTCCAGCTGACAACACAATAAGGAATTCCAAAATGAGCTCTGACTTTTCTCCAGGACTCTACAGTTCCCTGCATAGAGAGGGGTCAATTAGGGACCAACAGGTCTTCTAAGGCACAGTGTAATGGATTGGAAAAAGTCTAGGGTAGGAGTCAATAAATCTAGAATTTTTCTTTTATAATCTCTTCCACTTGGTATAATGCTAAGAGTGTGGCCTTTGCAGTCAGATAGGCATTCCTGGCTGTACCGCAGTGGGCAAGTTATGTGGCCACTCTAAATCTCAGAGTCACCATTTGTAAAATAGAATTCTGCAGACATGTGGTAACATCTCCCTACAATCACTTTTACCAGGCAGTGGAGTGGCTAGTTGGACAGCTCTCCATTGATAGTCCAAGAAGACTTCAATTGATACATCCCTGAAGTAACTGGCACAGTGTAGGAATTCACAGTTAAAATATTTAAAGTTTCATCATTCAGCCTTCTGGAGATTTTGGCAAGTTTTTAAGCTAGGAATTTCCTGACCCCCCAGAGATAACCGGCAAAGGCAGAGATATCAGCTCACACTTAAAAAAAAAAAGTTGCTTGACATTATAGAGTCACCTGGGAAAATGCTAACACATGATAAAGTTAATTTGCTCAAGGTGGGTAACTGTTGTCAATAAAGATTGGTAAACTTAGTGGATTTTTAAAAAATTTTAAGTAGGAGATTATTTCACCTCCTCCATTGGAATATTTGATTTGTTCTTCAGGATTAAAGAGGCAGCTATGTCCTAATGTTCATTCAATTTTAGGATAACGACAAGGTTTCATGAATGCGAAATGCTAGTTACACAAATATGAAATGGTTCTGTGATGAGGATACTGGGCACATGATAGTCCCATAGGCATTTCACCTGGGACCTTAGCTTTCCTTCTAGAACATCAGCAAACAGTTCAAAATTAATGTAGCACACCATGCAATTTGCCATATCGCTACACTGGCCTGATAATTACATAAAACCTAATTAGTTAAAGGGCAATTCAAATGAAACTCTTATTTGGGGGATTTAGAAGTATTAAAGCAAAGTAAAAAAAAAACCAAACAAACACTGCAGTTCTCTGTATAGCATGACCGCAATTATTAATAACCCTTGGGTGGGAAAATGATTAAGCTTGTTATTTTCTTCACGATCCAGGTTCCTACAGTAAATCAGTACTGCACAAAAATATTTGGATGCCGTATGGAAAACAACTTTTACAAGGTCTCCAACTGGCATAAAATGTTTTCAAGTATGAAAACATCTCTGGGCCTCCTCAACAGGCTGATAGATCCCTGCAGGTAGCACTTCCCTTGTTTAATGATTTTGCCAATTAAATCAAATTAGAGATGATTTTTTAACTCTGTGATGAAGGCACTGCTTATTATAAGATAAAACAGGAAAATTAGCTATTTCCCTTAAGTGAACTGTTGTTTTAAATTTAATAAGTTGGGGGTGGGGGACAGGCAAGGAATAGCCAAACACCTTCATCAATATTATACGCTTTATATAACATCACGCCAGTCAGTTGAAAGTAATTTAAGGAAATAATCTAGAGTCAGGTTCACAAAATGTTCACATCTCTTTTCTTTTGTTTGTATTCTATTTATTTCTAAACTCCAAGAGTTTTGAAATGGTCTTCCTTGATGTGATCTTCGTTTTGTGGATGGTTTACCTTTAACCTCTGACTCATCTGTTATTCGCTTTTGTAAGAAGTGATAGTCACCCACACAATGTATTTGCACATTAAGCCAATTCTTGCTGGTCTAATTATGCTTTTTATAATATACTGTTTAACGTAATTTCTGTAGTCATTTGCTTTTCAGGACCAAAGATCAGATGACATATACTAGAAGGTAAGGATCAGTTTATCACTTGAACAAAAACACCCACAGCAAGCCAATATTACTTTGGGTTATCAGCAGCAAAAAAGGTTCACTTGGATAAAATTATGAATGTTTACTTATAAGCGCATAATACATTTTATTAAAAAATGCAATCAGAAGGAATTCCTACCATATCAGGTAAAGTGAAAACATAGATCATAAGGCTCAAAGGCTATCAGATTTATTTTGGGATTCATTAATTGTTGACAAGATCACCAGTATTTTTTCAGCCATGGCCAAAGCACGTGAGAATGACTGAGTTCTAAGTCAAGTGCCCTTAGGATGATTGGGAAACCTGTTCATTAATAGATAGACAACAGCAGGTACGAATGACCTTAATGGGAAATTTCTTTCAAAAACATTTTTAGCAGATGATCGGAAAGGATGACCACTCTGTCCATGCATTTGAACCTTAATGCAGGCGTTGGCATTTTGAGATCTATACTGAAATTTATTAGGGCTCCAAAACCTATAATCACGGTGTATACAGTGTATGTATGGAAACTGACGGTTATGTACATCAATAATCTACAATCGATAATATACTTCATTTGTTTTCCTTGAGATATATTGTGATAATCAGGGTCTCATGGGTGTTACATCTGTTATAATGGTATCTTTCTATATAGTTAGTGAAATTACATTCATTTATTCCTTCTTTGGGGTAATGAAAAAAGCCCTGGCAAACTCCCATAACTTAGCTAAATACCTGAACAGCTTCCTCTACTCTGGCTTGCACCTTGAAAACTCCATTCCTGTGTCCTCTGAAACAGGCGGCAGTGTCATCTACGTGTGAATTCTTGCCCTTTGCAGAGGAAAGGAATCCACGAGTGCACACAACAAGCACCTTATAAGCCCACAAAGAAGGAACTTTCGAATGCCATTAAAGCAGCCTAGAAGATACAATCACGTTTGATGGTATTACTGTAAATCTCTTTACCTTGAAAGCCAGGCAACAGGCAAGCTAGTCATGTGTGATGTTGGGTGACCTCTGGAAGCTCTTACATCCTGCTTGCTGGAAATCTGAGAAAATACCCATTGCATTCTAAGCAGAACAGCCAGAGGCATATCAAAGGCAGGGTCTGAAATATCACTTTTAGTCAGAGGGTTTTTATTAGGAGTAAATTTTCCTAGGTTCTTGGTAATAAAGGTTAATATATTTTTTCAAAGGCACAATGAAGCATCCTTTCAGGTCACCACTGATTTCAAAACAAAACAAAATAGAAATGTCCGGATTTGGTGTGTAAAAGGTCAACATCTGCTGATGCTCAGAGATGGGGGATGTGGTGGAGGCGGCCGAATGGGATGTCGAGTGAGCAGGACAGTTAGAGGGGCCATGCAACATACAACTGACACTCCAAACAGAAAGACACCCCAACGCCAAAGAACTACTTTTCCATCCATCCATTTCTGAAACTTCTGACAGGCCAGATCACGAGAGAAGCCTCAATAATCTGTGTCAGCTTGCTTCTACTTGCTTCCCTGTGGCACTAAAATGCACGTGCAAATGCAATTGTCAAGGCCTGAAAGGAGCACATTGTGGGGTATATATACAGTTAGGCAAATGCCAAGGGGCATACTAAAGCAGAAAAATTAGACTGTTAGAGCCAAAGGTTTTCATTTGCAAGTTTCTAACACTGATGCTGTTTCAACCAGATCACAAAGAGGATGCTGTAGCATCAGGCTGGTATCTCTAAATGGAAGTGAACACTACTTCTATTTACAAAGTGGCCAATTTTCATGGCATTTACCACATCTAGTGCTTAAGAAATCAGTGTCCAGGCCTATTCACAAGCCCAAGTAAACTGGGTTGATTTATAAATTGGGAGACCTGACTGTGCATTTATAAGAAGCAGGAAGTTGCTTTATCCAGATTATCAGGGCATTGCTTTTTAGATGGATGCTGGGAATTGCAATTATTCAATGGCTGTTTACACTGTGATCACCGTGCCTGGCACAGCACCTACACCTATGAGGGGTGACACTACAGTGAAAATTCTCTCTGCTTACCAGGCATAATCTTGCTAATAAATCAGTAATTTATTTCCAATCAGTTACTTAGCAGTTGTTGAAAGATTTTAGCCAGTAGAGACAAAGGGTGCAATATATAAAAATATGTACAATTTTGCTGTGTAAAGTTATTGGGCACTTTCTTAATGGAAATTTCAGGCTTGGTATGAGGGCACCATTATTTTCCACATGAAGAAGGAGCTACACCTGGTTCTCCCGTGATAGCAGGGAGAAAGTTCTTTGTAGTGATACTGGAGAAGTGTTCTACAGACGATTGAAGAGGGGTTTCTCTTCAATTGCTTAGATTCATACCAACAAATTTATTGCAGGAATTTCTAGTACTCATACTCCAAAATTCTGCACATATTTTTTAATGCTCTTTCTCTATCAAACTCAAAGCTAAGCAGTCAAGAAGACATAGATCATTGTATTTGAGAAGGGAGAAATGAATGCACAGATTCTCTTTTTCCTTTATCTCTCCAGAAAGACTAGTGATCACAAACTTGCCTCTTTCAGGCCTTCACAAAACTTAGAGATTAATGCGTTAACCAAATTCCCTCCCCTTGGTTTCATGGACTTTTTCTTGGGTTCTGATGAATCCACCCAAGGCATGCATTGGCTTTCATTTTCTGCTTTTTAAAATTATGTTAGAAATCCAAATCCAGTCTAAGAGAGAGAGAGTTCAATTTGTTTGCTGGTTAGTAAGTATGGATAAATAGGACTACTTATATTTTTGCTAAATGATGATGATTATCTAAGTAATTGCACCTCAGTCTAGGTAGCCCTCATTGGTTAAGAGTATTTCAGGAAAGCCGTAGCACTGCCATGTTCATGGAGTTATGCACAAATAATAATTTTGTCTGTGTTCTCACCAGATCTGTGCAGAAAATCAACACAAAAATGCAATTCATAAAATACCCTATCACATCAGAAATGGACACTGGGAAAATAGATCTGAGGAGCTGAACGACAAAGCAAAGCTAGCCTAGACTTGGTTTGGTGTTTTGTTGTTGTTGTTGTTGTTGTTGTTTTACTTACTACCAATACTGGAAATACTGGGGATACCTGGAGAGAAAGAAAACAACAAAGAAAAGCTGTTAGCTAGTTATTACCATATAACATCTTCAACTTAATATAAAAATCTCAGAAACTTGACACGATAACATTCAGACTATTAGGAAATTAGCACACACAAAATCTGTGTGTATATATGTATGCGTATACACATCACACACACACACACACACACACACACACACACACACACACAAATCACACAAATTTCCAGTAACTGCAGCCATTCCGTTTTCATTCTAGAACTCCTGGGCTCATCAGAGTTGTGAGGTTAATACTCATTTCAGCATCTGGTTCAAGTAAGCCTCATGACATCCGACATTTTGTGTTTCTCTTAAGATTAATGAACATTCGTATGTTGTTCAAAATAAGACAATAAACCAGGCTTACATAATGGGCACAGAGTACCAAATATACACTGTGTGGACCTTTGCAAATATATTCACATATACAATAGACCTTTAAAAACGTGTTATGAGACGCATGTGTTAGCTGTTGAAAATCACCTGGCATTTTATTTGATTAATTTCATATAACCATCATTTTTATTCCTCTTTTACTTGTCAGATATGTGGATTAAACTCTGTAATAGAAACTTAATTGAGCGGAATAATTCAAGAATACATTAGGCTGTTCATATTGATCATGGACTTCATCGATTTTTCAGCTTTCACTTTAATTCACAAGTTGTGCCAAGGTAGAGGAGCCATTTCAGAATATGGCTGGACTTGGTATAAATGTGGACATGAATTTAGTCTGTATCCAGATTCAAATTCCTAATTAAACAATATAGTTCTGTGGCCAAGAGTCTGGGCTCAGAAGTCAGGCTGTCTGAATCTGCTGTTTGACTCCAACTCCTAAATTTGACCTTGTGGCAAGTTGCTGATCCTCAGTAGGTCAGTCTTTTTTCTTTTTTTTTTTTTTTTAAAAAAACTCTTAGGGTTGTTTGCAAGAGTTATATAAACTGATAGATGTAAAGCACTCAGAGTATTGCTTGACAGGTAGTATGTACTAGATCTGTCTTTGCTATGATTACTATTATTGTTATAGCTCATTCACCAAGCAACATTATGATAGATGCTGTTAATTAAAAGCCAGGGTACATCTTCACCACTAATTTGGGTAGCTGTATGGGTGAAAACATGTGATGGGAATCACACAGCACTCAGAATTCTGCTTTACTGTTGCTTAGCTGGGTGATATTAGACAAGTCTGCTAGCTTCTCTGCACTGTTTCCTCATCTGAAAAAGGGCTAGTAAGATCTGCATAGGGATGTCATGAGGGTTGAATGAGATAATCCATAAAAATGTCTGACACATGGTACGCAGCCAATAAACAATAGCTGTTAAAGAGTTGTTCAGACTTGTTCTTCACATTATTGAAGTATAGTAACAGGTGGTAACTGTAAAAATCATTAAGCTTCTATTTAGTATTTACCTTTGAACAACAGCTCTTGATTTATTTTAACTAATCATGGGAGCTTGCTCTGAGATTTCTAGTTTTGTATTCTTTAAAGCCAAGAACTACTTTCCTATTTTGTATTGGGTAGGAGAGAATAAGAAATTAAGGATTACTATGATGTTTTTAAAACCCTGGAAATAATGAAGTCTGAATTTTAGTTATTAGAATCATAAAAACATATTGATTTTAAATGCTCAGAGTTTGTATGCTTCAGCTTAATTACTGATCAACCAAAATTGGAAATCCAAATTTCCATTTCCATGTTTTAACTCTATCCTACGAATTTCAAGCTGAATATGATTTCTGCAAAGGACTGCTGAATTCCTGACCTGACACTTCAATTGACTACATTTGCTGCCATGTGACAGTGACTTGGTACTGAATCTTTATTTTTTTTTTCCTTTGCAAATCCCCTGTTGAGTGAGATATGATAGCAGCATCATAATTTTAGTATCAATTGCAGAAGTTCCAAATTTCCCCGTAATTGAAAATCCTGCTCCATTGCAAGGCACTGCTTGCCTCTTGTAATCCATCAAAAAAAATGGAAGTTGGAATGCCAGGAAGAGAATTCTCAAGTGTTTACAAACTTAAATGGCCCTAGAAGGCCAGGCATTATGCAAGGCAGAGATCTCGGGGTGTTTGGTACGATACAATGAAGAATAAACTCGCAAGACTGTTTGATGCAGGACTTGCTGCAGCTGAGTACTTTAGAAAGATGCATAAATTTTTTCATTCCTTTGGAGATACCAGTGCAGGAAAGCAATGTTCATTCTAAGTATAAAAACCTCACCAAGTGAGGATATTAGGAGATTCTGTTTTTCTCATGAAGATGTTTTCTATTACCTAACGTTGGATTCTTAAAATTCAGGCTGTTCCTCATTTTGTGGCTTACAATTTTTTGTGGTGCTGCCAGATGAGTCATTTTTTTTTATTCCTCTGCTGTAAAATGGGAATTGATTAGAAAAGATTTTTAAACTGCTCATTTGAATGAAGACCTTTGAAGCTGAAAATATCTGAACACCAAGGGATGCCCACTAGTATATTTTTAAGTATCATTATTTTTTCTAATGCTTCTTATTTTAATGCCCAAATACCTTGTTTTTTGTTCTCTGCAGATAACAAAAAATTGAATACACCCATAAATCCATTAAAAAGGCTACAGGTAAGCCAGGAGAAATTCCTCAAACACTCAAGGCAATACGACAGAGAGGCCTAGAAATGAACTGCAACAATTTATTTCATGAAAGGTAGGGTGTCTTTAGGGTTTGTGAGGAATGAATCAATGAATACAATTCCATTTTATAGCAAACAGTGACTGTACCTAAAAGTCACAGGAATGTGAGTCAGATTGTGCCCAGGAAAACGTCTAGCCACATGTTGGCAGTTTTGTAACATTCTCTATGAAGTGACAATTACCATGTAAAGAATATTATTACATTTGAAACTGAGCTCTGCAGTCATTTATTTCCTTCCTCCTCCATATCCCTGATGTGAGTTAGCTACTCTCTCCTTTTGATGCCACAGCATTTTGTACAGGCCTCCATGATCAATTTATCCACTTGTTTTTGCCTGTCTTCATGTGCTTGCTTGCCAGAGCTGAGGGCACAAGTTCCATGTCTTGTTCCTTTCTGTACCTGTTGTATCTGCCTGGGAAAGTGTCCGATGACATAAGAGTTGCTCAATGTATACTGGATAAAAAATTTATTACTTATTCCCATGAAAATTTCTATCATTGTGAAAACATCACTTTTGGTCAAAGTATGATTTTATCCCCTATAAAATGCTCCACTGAGACATTTCTCAGAGTTCAGGATTAATGGACATTAATTATTAATATTAATAATAAATATTATCTTTGAACACATCCTCCATTCTTATAACAAGAGTTATGCAGTGGACAAATTCCTTTTACCATTGTGCCTTCTATGAAACTCAGAGCTCAGTTTGATGCTCAACTGGGGAAACTGTTTAGCATTTAATGTCTGGCCTACTTCCTGTCTATTCCTTTTCTCGGATCTTCTGCTGAAATTTCATTTTTTGATACTCTTATTTGTATTTGTCTTTTTTCTTAACATACCCAGAGACGAGTGCAGACTTTGTGGGGCATAAAATGTGTACAATTCTGTGTCCTCTCTTTAAGAAATGGAACAAAATATTAAACTAAGTACACAAAAATCTAGATATTTTACTATATATATATATATATATATATCTTTTTTTTTTTTTTTTAATTTAGAAGGAGTCCAGTGAGGGATCCTGAAGTTTAAGCTCCATGAGCTCAAATTCAACTCCAGAACAACCTCAAAAATACTTGGGAAAGATAAAGAGATGATAGGTAAATTAGAAAGAAGGAAGGAAGATACTAGATAAGTTAGTTCAGAAAGTGTGTTAAAAAAAAAAAGAAAGCTGAAAGGGATTTAAGACATCTTCTTATTTAGCCCTATCATTTTATAGAAGAGGCATAAAGAGATTCCAGGGCCTTGTCCAAGTGCACCCTTTTAGAGTCAACATCGGAGCATGTAATTTCTAGTCCCTGTGTGAGACATTGCTGAGCTTGTGCTGAGGAAATGAAGCACAGGTGTGCATGAGGCTTTTTTTTTTTTTGAGACAGTCTAGTTTTGTCACCCAGGCTGCAGTATAGTGGCTTAATCTTTGCTCACTGCAACTTTCCGGGTTCAAGTGATTCTCCTGCCTCAGCCTCCCAAGTAGCTGGGATTACAGGCACATGCCAACATGCCTGGCTAATTTTTGTATTTTTAGTAGAGACAGAGTTTCGCTGTCTTGATCAGGCTGGTCTCGAACTCCTGACCTTATGTGATCCACCCCCTTGGCCTCCCAAAGTGCTGGGATTATATGTGGGTGCCACCACGGCCGACCCTGGTGCATGAGTTTTAACAGAAGTTTCTGCAATTAGTATTATGTTATCATTAATGCTTCTAGAATCAAAATATCACTTCAGCCACAGATATACATATGTGTTGAGTAAGCCAAAGGGCCATTATGCTACCACATGATGAAAAAATGAAAAAGCACTTGCCTTGTAGGTAGTTGGAATTATTCTTTCCTCAATCAGCCCTTCCTTCCCCCACATTTATTTTAATGTCTGTTTTAAAGATATTCTGCTGCAATTAGGGGGATGAGAACCTAGTAGAATTACACAATACAATAATGTGATATTTTCTTTATTTAAAATAATTTTACTTCTCTCTCAACCAAGTAAATAGCTTAAGGATACACAGTTATGCTTAAAGAAGTCAAAATCATGAAGATCTCAAAAATAAATACCCTCATCTTCAGAAGCAGATTAATGCAGTCCTAAAAGCCATAACTCCTTTTGAGAATCAATGGAAGATTCAGCAGTTTTTCATCAGGAAGGAAGCAGAAGGGATAAGGATTTGGCATGCTTCAAATTGAGGGGAAAAATTACCAGTGTTGTGATAGATGGTTTGAAAAACCCATCAGGTAGGTAACTAGATCTTCTTATAGCCAGACTGCAGCCATGGGAAACTCTAACTCCAAAACAAACTTCA